CCCGCCGACTTGAAGCGAGCTGCCGAGCTGGTGAGCACAATGGGCCACCGCTACGAGGAGCTCTTCTGCCAGGGCCTCTTCGTTGACGCCCAGTACCTGGTGCAGAGGCCGCGCTGGGACCCTCGCTGGGAGCGCCGCTCGCGTGGCTGGGACGAGGGCGCGCTCGTGGTGCCCGCGGGCTCCCTCGTCTTCACGGACGGCTCCTGCGTCAACAACGACTTCCCGATGGTCAGGAGTGCGGGCTGGGCAGTGGTGGTTCTCACGCCCGACGGCGAGTGGTTGGCGCAGGCGTGGGGGGCAGTTCTGCCTGCCCTTTTGCCCAGCCAGACGGCGAGGGCAGGCGAGGACTACGCGGCGGTGGTCGCCCTCACGGACATCGTCGGCCACTACCACCTCATGATCGACTGCCTCGGCACGGTCGGGGCTTGCAAGGACGTGAAGAGGGCGGCGGCCCCGACGGCCCAGTTTGCCCACCTCTGGGCGAGGGTCGGCGACGCCGCCGAGGGGGTGCACGTGAAGCACATCCCCGCCCACCGTTCTCGGGCGGCAGTCGAGCAGGGCGTACTCTCGGAGGTGGAGCTCTACGGCAACCGCCTCGCGGACCAGCTCGCGAAGGCGGGCGCGGCGCTGCGCGCCATCGCCGACGAGGAGGCCCTCCTGCTCCAGGGCTGCCTGGCCCGCGCCCGCGACGCGGCGCGGTACGCCGCCGAGTTCGAGGTCCAGGCTACGGAGTCGGGCATGCGGGACTCCTGGCCCGTCAGCTCGCTGGAGCTCGTCGACCTCACCCCCTACATGGCGGAGGAGCTCGACGGCGAGACCGACTTCCTGCACGCCGCCGCGGCGGAGCCCGCCCCTGGGACAGGTGGATTCAGCCCACCGACGTCGCAGTCCCAGGGGCGCGGCGAGCTCGAGGCGATGCACGACGCGGAGGTGCGCGGGGCTGCCGCTTCAGCGACTGGCGTCTTGAAGGAGCCCGACGCCGAGCCTGGCGATGACGTCGGCGTAGCGCAGCCCTCGGCGGCTGACGGCGGCCCCCGCCTCGCCACGGCGGCGGCCCTGGCAGCGGCGGCGGCAGCTGGCGCCTCCAGCTCGCGGCCTTCGCCCGCGAGGCGCCGCCCCGCCTCGGCCGAGTCGCCCGCGGAGGTGCTGCGCCGTGTAGCCCAGCGCAGGGCGCAGGAGCATCCGAGGCGCCGCGAGGCCTCGGCGCCCGCGCCCAGCCCGCGCCTGGCGGCGGCGGAGGCGACGAGCAGCGGCCCAGCCCCTGCGGAGGCGGCAGATGCGACCCGTCCAGCGGGATGGAGGGTCAACGGCCACCTCCTCATGGAGTCGCGCGTCGAGGGCGACGTTTCCGAGCCCTTCCTGGTCTGCGCGGCCTGCTGGATGTACTGCCGCCTCCCCAGGTACGCGCACCGCGGCCTGGGCAAGCCGTGCGGGGCCAGCGCGGCGGCGGGGCAGCCCAAAAGCAAGAAGGGATCCAGAGCCCAGGCGCGGTCGGACTTCGCACGTGGGATCCTGCCAGCGTCGAAGGAGCCGATCGCGCCGCTGGCCTCGCCAACGGCAAGCACGCGCCTGCGCTGGGCGGCGGCACTCCAGGCCAGGCAGGGCCACGGCTCGGAGGTGCAGGCGACCGAGGCGGCGCCCGAGCCAGCGCTGCGGCAGCCTGCTGCAGCCCCGCCCACGCCGCCTGCGGCTGGCGCTGGTAGCCTGATGGCTGCGCCGCCGAGCGCCACGGCGCCGCGGCGCCTGGCAGCGGCGGCCCCGCGCGCGGAGGCAGCCGAGCCGCGGCGGATCCGCCCAGGGCTCGAGGGCGTCCTCCGAGCCCACGGCTTCGCGGACGCTGCGGCGGCCCGCGAACGCGGGCGAGCCGCGAGGGCGGCGCCCGTCCCGCCTGCTTGAATTTGTTTGCATGAAACCGTGGACCTTTGTCCGCGCCCACAGAGATAAACAAAAAATGCCCACACCGTATCTGTAAGGTTCGCGGCGGTCCCTCCACGTCACCACGGCACCAAGGCACCACGACCCACCATCAGGCCACCATACGACACCACACACCGGGATACCTCCGCACCACGGCTCCACGCACCACGATGCCCCGCGGCACTTTGCGCCTGTCGCCGGGCGGAGGCCATCCGCCCCAACGACCTCGGGACCCCGCGCACAGCTTGTCACGTCACGCACAGCACAAACAGGAGTTAGAGATTCCTGGAGAGGGCGGCCTCACATAAGCTTTC